AGAAGTAAATAAAGGACTGCAGCCAATCATTGAGGAGATGAAGACACTCTCACTGTATAAGATTAAGAAATCCAGACACATGCCTGATGAAATCCTCATCGATCAGCTGTGTAAGTGCTGCTGGGTGAAGTGTCCGTTCTGCTCAGCTGTTTGCACAAACACCATTGAAGATCACAGTCCTGACGACCACAGCGTCCCTTTTCATCGACCCTCTGGGATCAACGGATGGCACTCCAAAGGCACAGTGGAGATGTCCATCAATTTCTGCACAACAAATGTTGCAAGCAATGGCAGTTTTTACCCTCATTATGACTCAGAGACAACCTTTCCCTACAAACAATACAGACTTGCTGGTCCAGAATACGCTAACTGGAGGATCACCCCTGATGACTCCAAACTGGCCTACTGGAAATGGTTTGTGTGTCGATTTCAAAAGCAACTGGAGGACTACTATAAAAAAGAATTCCAGGGGAGAGGAGCAATTCCATCTGAGTGGCACTCTATCACTAAGGACCAAGCCATTCAAAGTCTGGACGAAATGTGTGAGTGAATCAATGCAACCAGTAACTCATGAATCCAAGCCTGAACAAACAGCTTTTACAGATACAGTATGTGATTTTGTCTGTAGCTGAGAAATGAGGAAACTCAGCAGACCACGAAATGAAAAAGATGGTTTGACTGCAAACGGTGTCTGATTTCAAGTAACCTCATAAACCAAAAACAGGGAAAAAGAACAATAATCATAATCACGTCCACAAAGTAGGATTTGTAGAAAATAACAACATGTTCCTGCAGATAAAGACAAACACAGAACATGTCTTCACAAATCAATCACTGCTTCATTGAACCTCACTTTAATGTTTTTCTTTATATTTTTACTATTTTAAAGTTTTATACAGATAAAGTTTTATTTCTTAGAGGGATGTAATTTTTAAGCCTGTTTTCTAATATGCATGAAATGTGTACAATAAAACAGTTTTATGGGGCTTATTTTTAATCATAGGAGTTTGTATGATGTACTGAATGATTGTAATGTTTCATTTTCTTTGTATTCTTTTATTATGTTGTAGTTTTGACAACGTGCAGTTTATCACCTCTATAGTTTTTTGTTGTTTTTTTTTTTGTTCGACAGAGAACATTCTTATGTGTAAAAGGAATCTAAGCCATATTTTGTTATAACTTTTTGATCATTAAATCACATCTGACAACCATGTCAACACACATTTTATTTTTAATAATACCAGCATTGTCATTACGGATGTTTCATGTTTCTCTTTCTAGAAATGTTTGACTGTGTTACGTAATATAATTTTAATCGCTCTGTGGTTGTGTTCATATCAATTAATTTTGTCCAGTAAGACTTTTGCTCTATCATAACTATTGTGATATCCAAAATAAATGTATATACTGTTGTCTTTATGAGAAACATCTATTTGGACTTGATCATTTATTCAATTGACCGTTCATGAAGGAAAAGGCGGGAAAAAATCACCTGAAGTGAACTTTGGTGTTGTTATTATGCAAATATGTGGTTTTTTTAGTTGTTTTTTATTTTTGCTTTTGTTTTGTTTTAATCAGATGAGGGTTACAGGGATTTTTGAATTAAGGATCACAGTGAAAACAATGAGTGAAATTTTGAAATAAAAGAGATTTTTTATTATGGAGTACCTGTTGTTGTTTAAAAAAATTAAATCAGATTTTTTTTTTTTTTTCAAAAATGTAAATTATATTATACATTTTTCTGGAACATACAGAGTACCTACTATCATTTAAAAAGTGAAATTTCTGTTTTTTGTTTTTATAGCACATACAGTTTATCTACTGGTTTTTTATTTTGAAATGAAATGGTTTATTTTTATGGCACATCCAGAGGACATAATATTATTACAGTTTTTTTAAAAATTCAAGTGATATATTTTTGTAGCACATACTAAGTACCTACTCTGTTTTCTTTACTTTGGAAAATAATTAAATGACATATTTGTATGGCACCAACAAAAAAATGAAGTCCTTACAATTATTTAGAGATGTTAATATTAACCAGCAGTGTGCTGTCAGGGCCAGCAAGGCCTTCTCTGCTGGCCTAAACTCTATCAGAATCATTGACTTACGTTGTAATATTTTCCCTTTAATCTTTTTACATTATTCCCAATAGTCTGTTCTCTTCATTTCATTGTGTGTCTCTGGGCTGTGGTGCTTCCAGCTGTGTATATTTATATTAGAGCTTTCATCCAATCATATGTCAGTCATCATGTGTTGCCAGGGTCAAAGAAATCTGCCCTGAGGCCTTCAGAATCAAAAGTGCAGGCACCTGTATCTTAAAATGCATTGCAATGAAACTGTTGCTTTAACCAATCAGATTGAGAGTTGGTGGTCCCAGGGGCCTACGATAACATCAGCACTTTCACGTCCTCTGATTGGATGATCAGAGATCTTAGCCAAAGCTAGCAATTCGTATCTGTAGCAACCTGCACAAGCTAAAACTTTACCATAAAAGTATTGTTTCGCTTTTTTCAAGTTAAGCAAGCGGACATTCTCAGCCTTAAAGCAGATTAAAACTTGTGCCAGAAACATGACTGGACAGACCCAACTTTCAGCATTAGCCTCCATGGCGATAGACCAGGACTTATTGTTGGAAGTGAAACGCACGGATCACCTGCTCAATAGAGAGACTGAACTCCGGTGAGTAAAATATATATTGTTGTCATTTTATTGGGCTGATATTGATGCTCCTGTTAGATGTGATATATATGGTGCAGCTGTGGCTGCAGTGAAAGGAGACTTGTTGAATTGTTTTAACTGGGCTTCTTGCTTTAGCATGACATTCACTCTCACCACATGAGATACCTGTCTGCGATGCAACGTCCTGTTATGCTGCCTTTCTGCATAATACTGATGATTTTTATAGCCATGGCGTCATAATGACGGTGTTAAGAGGTGGTTTGATTCAGGTAGGACGCCACTGAAGGCCGAGGAGTAAACTGCACTCCCCGCCACTGATATTAAAAAAGGCTTTGTTTTTTTTTTAAGTTATTTTTTGCCTTTATTTGATAGAGCAGTGAGAAAGAGACAGGAAAGTGGGGGAGAAGAACGGGGGAAGGACCTGCAGAAAAGGGCCATGAGCAGGACTCAAACTCATGACCTCCACATTGGGGACTGTAGCCCTGCACATGGGACGCCAGCTCAACCAGGTGAGCTGTAGTGGCGCCCCAACAGAAGGTTTTTATAACACGTACAATCACTAATACTATTTTTTTTAAGTGAAAGTTAGTAGTAGTATGTTTTTATTGCACATACAGAATACCTACTGTTTTTCAAAATTTGATGTCTTTTTTTAAAAAGATCTATTCTTAAGGCACTTTTTTCTTTCTATTTTTGTATGTGTTTTTTAAGTAGTTTTTTTATAGCACATTAAGAGTGCCTTTTTGCAAAAACAAAACTTTGTAAATTAAAGTGACTTTTTTGTGTTGAGAGACGCTTTTTTCCCCACATATTTTATGTTAAAGCAAACATGCGCACACACTGTCTTTTCTTCAGATATTTTAGATTTTTTTATTTTTTATGAATGATATATGTATTTTTGTGTTTCAGTCCACTCTTCACCTCTAAGGGTTGCCATTTCGTCACAAATTTGTCACACGTCTGCCACAAAGCCTCAAATCACATAAACAGAAAAACACAATTTTCCTGTGTGTATGTGTAAACACAGTTGAAACCCAAAGTTTACATACACTGTATAAAAATACACATAACCTTTGACATTAACTATCTGACATTAAATGTGACTAAACTTTTTCTGTTTCAGGTCAGTTGGGATTACCAAAATCCTTTGTATTTGCTCAACGCCAGAATAATGAGAAAAAGAATTTTGTTTTTCAATTTTTTACAACTTTCTTCAGAGTCAGAAGTTTACATACATTTCCTTACTATTTGGTAGCATTGCCTTTAAATTGTATGATTTGGGTCAAACGTTTTGGGTTTCCTTCCACAAGCCTTTCACAATAGTTTGATGAATTCTGGACCATTCGTCCTGACAGAACTGATGGAACTGAATCAGGTTTGTAAGCCACCTTGACCCTCCATATGTCATCTCTCTGATCAAGATTATTTCGAAATACTGACTGCACTGAAAGTACATTGATTATCTTGCTTAATTTTTGTTATCCTGGTGCAGGATAAAAGTATATTATTATGTTCTTACAGTGCAGGTGTCACGGACTCCACAGAGTAAAGAGCAGCATAATGCAAATATTCACACATTGCGTATAGCAAACATTGAGGGTTACAGCAAATAGATTTTGTCCCTTAATAGAATCTAAATGTCCATGAATGGTGCATGTTTATGACATTTTCATTTGCTGTGAACTCCAGCGGCAAATTTGAATTAGCAAGAGTTGACCAATATTCAATGTCTAAATAAATCACCAGCTGTTTGAGGAATATGAGTGTGACTGGGATCTAATCCCCAGTTTATTAAATACAACATAGACATTAATGCACTTCCTTTATTTTGTATGGACTTCAAAACATCCAGTTCTACAGTGGTATGGTGCGGTTGTGCTAACCCTAACCCTGATTAGCCTAGTGATCCTGGTACAGGCCCTGCAGTGAGACAGAACCTGAGCCAAGTTGAAGGTTGAAATAAAGAATAAAAACAGGAAGTAGTACTTTAATAGCCTGGCAGAAACTTCATTTGGACTAATATGATGTCAAGATTTCCAATGTGGCTGAAACACGTGTATTTGCAGAAAGTTCTTTATTCCATTCAAATGTTTAGTGGGCGATAGAGCGTTTTTCTATTTGTCAGGGACAATGCAGGACACATTGTAAAGAGTTAATATAACAGGAAATAGATGTGATGATTTCAGGATTTCTAGAAAAGTCTAATTTGCAGACACCTGTAACTGGTTCTTAAATGGTCATAGCATATCAACTCTACCAAGAGTACATTAGTGATAATAAGTACATAATAAACTGTGACATTTTCCTATGTGGAACATAAAAGACACGAGATTCATTTTATGTGTGTGTGTGTGTAGGTGTGTGTGTGTGTGTGTGTGTGTGTGTGTGTGTGTGT